GACAGACAATGGAAAAAGTCAAGCACAACCTCTCATCTGAGATTGTTTATTTTATAACTTATGTAATGAGCTTTAAAAGGTTTTCACAACGTAGAAATACTCAGTGAATGAGCAGCAACAATAAAAAGACCAAAATGAAACTGACTGGACGTCTTTCCTCCTCCTTGTTGAAGTGAAAAGCGAACAGATGTGCTGACGTCTGATGAGCGAAGCAGAGATCAGGATTGATTTGTCCGGAAATCTGTGGTGGAGTCTGAAGCAGCGCTCCATCTTCTCATCCTGCTTTGTTTGTGCTGCAGGTAAGAGCCCATCGCAGCTGTTCACAGCTGTGGTCCATACGGTAACTCCTCTGCAGGCCCAGATCTCCCCTGTGGTGAAGCTCATCATCGCTGTGGCCAAGTCCAAGTTCTGTGCACAGGTAGGAAAATGGGTCCAAACTGTCCCAGGATCCAGATAATAACCCATTTTTGAGAGAGAAGCGTAATAATGCTGTTACCTGTGAGCAAGCTACCTTCAGGTTAGAGCCTGCAGAGTTTGAAAATCAAGTTAGACAAAGTTTAATCCCATCTCACATGATTTGAATCATTTTCAGTATGAGCCATATCAAAAATCAGAATGTTCTTAAAGGGCCGGTTGTGCCAGAATATATTGATAAAACCAATTAAATTATTAAAATATCAATAAATTGTTCGTCCAGGATTTTATGATTTAGTGTTTCTTTCAAATCTTTTGTGGTGACTATTTAGAAATGTTTGTAAGGAATTTGTACAGTATTCTCGCTAATGGATGATGTTAAATGTGACTTGACATCAAATAAGACTGCAGTCATTTAAACTCAATGTTTTCGACCAATTTTGAGAAAATCTGCAGTAAAATCAGGAAATAATGTGAAGATTTGTTGATTTTGTGTGAATTTTGCAGATTTGTGAAAAACTGGAAGATGTCATTTGGAGTCTAGAGGGCCACATAAAAAGCTACGGCGGGCCAGATTTGGCCCCCGGGCCTCGACTTTGACACCTGTCTTTTAAATTTACAGTATTTTGTGGAATATTTTTTAATTTTCTAATTTACAAGTTTTTATTTCCCTTGAAAAAATATTCGTACCACATGGACTTTGACTCTTTTCCATTTTTAAACCAAAAACTTTAAGGTTTCTAATTGATCCTTGGATTTTTTTGTGTAGCTAATAGTGCAAAATCTGCATTTTCAGACATTCTTCTTTGTGAAATTGGTCAGCTTCAGTCAGATTGGATGTATTTGATGTCTGTAAACATCAATTTTCCAGTCTCGTCACAGATTAATAGATGGAGTTTGACTGGACCATTCGAACTAAACTCATCTCCAAGAAAAATGGCTCCTTTACAGACTTTACCAGAATAAAAATCCTCCATTTTTCCAAATTACATTTTTAAAAGCATCCAATTTGAAATATATATATATATATATTTTTTTTTTTTTTGTGCAATTTTGTGCTTATTTCTGACTCGACCTGCATAAAATAACATCCAGATTCGCTGAAAGCAGCATATCAACCAGCTCCCTGTGTGTTTTTCATGTAGGTTGTGGTTTTGTGGAACTGTGAGAAACCTTTACCTCCTCGAAATAAGTGGCCCTCCACCAGCGTGCCTCTCACTGTCATCGAAGGACAGACCAAGGTAACAGCTGCTGGCTTTCTGCATCCGTTACTGTGTGGAAGTCGACTTCAAGCGATAAAAACATTTATCTGCACTTTAAAAAGATACTTACCAAAAGGTGCTCCAGGAAATTAAACCTCAACATTAAAGCCTCAAGACTTTTTTTTTTTTAAACAACCTTCCATACAAATACTCTTGTTCCTAAAGTTCAAGCTTACATGAATAGTGTCTCTTCTTCCATAAAGTCTCCTTTTCATCTCCTGGGATTTGAGGTTGTACTTTAGGTGTTATTTGATGCTTTTGAGATGCTAATCGGATAATCCTGGTTGGTTAAAAAAAAAAACACACACCTTGTTGCCGCGGTTACACATCAAACCGACTGTCTGAAGGTAAAAAAGTAAGAGCAAAAATCCTTTCAGATGCACAGCATCCAAAAGTCTAGAAAAATGAATAAATCAGAGCTAGGCTAACAAAGCAGCATAGTTCTAGAATAAAAACAAAATGCATCTGTTTACTGCATGCTTCTATGGTATAAATGACAATATTTTGTCTTTGTGGATTAAGTTAGCTGTTAGTTTTTATGAGAAAAAAAATCTGGTATTTATAAAGATATTTCACCAAATTTTTGTTGTCCAAGTTTGAAATTTTATCTTGGTCTAAGAAAAGTTTTTAAAACTAGTCCTGAGCATCATACGTTTAAATATAATTGAAATTGGACAATCAGTAATCACAAATAGATATTTATTGTATCTACTTTTAATTTACTTAAAGGGGACCTAGAAATTCAGATTGTGCGCTTTTTTGGACTTCCACTTGGTTCTCAAAAACAAATCTTAAAAAAAGCACCCAGCTGCTTTTTTTTTTTTTTTTTTTTTTTTTTTTTTTTTTTTTTTTTTTTT